GACGAGCCCCCGAGATCCTCGAGTGGCGGTGTCGACTGGATTCGGGGGCGCGCAAACATGGATTCGCGATCCCCGTCGCTATAATGCCCCCCCCCCCCTCAATATCCATGTTCGCGATCGCCAGATGGCCGCGCTGCTGGGTTCCCCTCGTTGTTGCACGGGCGGGCCCGCTCCTCTCACAGCTTGGAGAGGCCCCCGCTCGAGCGGCAGGCCCGCGGGGCGCTCGCCTTTCAAGGGGGGTGCCCCCCCCCCCCCGCAGCGAAGAATGTGTACACGAAGGGGAGGAGAGGGAGGAGAGAGAGGGAGGGGAGGGAAGGAGGGGGGGGGAGGGAGGAGGGGGGAAGGCGGGGGGGTGGGGGGGGGGGGGCGCAGCGAAAGTGCGTACGTGAAGGGGGCAGAAGGGGGGCCGCGGGGAGGAGGGGGGTGGGGCCCCCTGGACAGGAGGGTGTGCTGGTGCAGTATGCTGAATGCGCTCGCTGTCATCCTTCTCCTCCTCCTCCTCCTCATCCTTCCTCCTCCTCCTCCTCGTCTACCTCCTCTCCTCCTTCCCCTCATCGTAACCCCTGCTACTCCTCCTCCTCCCTCCTCCTCCTCCTCCTCCCCTCCTCCTCCTCATCCACCTCCTCCTCCACCCCCTCCTCCTCCTCGTCCTCCTCCTCCTCCGCGTCCTCATCCTCCTCCTCGTCCTCGTCACCGTCCTCGGCCTCATCCGCATCCGTATCATCCTCATCAGCATCATCATCAGCATAATCATCAGCAGCATCCTCATCAGCATCATCATCACCAGCATCAGCATCATCGTCCTCATCATCAGCCTCGTCCTCCTCATCCTCATCAACATCATCAGCATCATCATCATCATCTGCATCATCCTCACCATTATCAGCATCACCATCATCATCAGCAACATCATCATCCTCGTCCGCATCACCATCATCAGCATCATCATCAGCATCATCATCAGCAGCCGCAGTCGCAGCATCATCATCCTCGGCAGCCTCACCATCAGCATCACCATAGTCATCCTCATCAGCGGCATCATCATCGGCATCGTCATCGGCAGTATCATCACCAGCGTCATCATCATCGTCATCGTCATCGTCATCAGCATCATCCGCATCAGCATCAGCATCATCATCAGCGTCGACATCGTCATCGACATCGTCATCATCAGCAGCATCAGCATCAGCACCATCATCAGCAGCATCATCACCATCGTCAGCAGCATCGTCAGCCGCAGCATCACCATTACAGGTATCAGCAACATCATCAGCAGCAGCATCAGCGGCATCATCAAAAGCAGCATCAGCATCAGAAGCATCAGCAGCATTATCAGCAACATCATCAGCATCACGAGTAACATACGCATCATCAGCATCACCATCATCATCAATAACAGCATCATCAACGCCATCAGCATCATCAGATCCGCCTCCTCCTCTCCTCCTCCTCCTCCTGTTCCTCCTCCTCCTCCGCCTTTTCCTACTCCTCCTCCCCATCATCCTCCTCCTCATACTCCGCTGCTTCATCATCATCTCCCTCCTCCTACTCCGCCTCCTCCTCCTCTGTGTCCTCATCCTCCTCATGAAGTTTCTCCGCCTCCTCCTCCTCATCCTCCTCCTCCTCCTCCTCCTCCTCCTCCTCCTCCCCATCTTCCTCCGCCTGTTCCGCCTCATCATCCGCTTCCTCCTCCTACTCCTCTTGCCTCCTCCTCTCCTCCTCCTCCTCCTCCTCCTCCTCCTCCTCCTCTTCTCCACGTCCGTCCTCCCCTTCCTCCTCCTCCTCCTCTTCATCGTCCCTCCTCATCCCCCTCCTCCTCCAAGTCTTAATCATCCGCTCCTCCTCCTCCTCCTCAACCGCCTCCTCCTCCTCTCACTCCTCCTCTGCCTCCTCCCCTCCTCACCTCCTCATCCTCCTCCTCCTTCTCCTCATTCATCCCCCTCCTCCTCAGATTCGTCCCCCAGCCCCCTCCTCCTCATCCTCCTCCGCCTCCTCCTCGTCCTCCTTCGCATCATCCTCCTCTTCGTCCTCCTCCTTCTCCGCCTCTTCCTCCGCATCATCCTCCTCCTCATCCGCCTCATCCGCGTCGTGTTCATCGTCTTCCTCCCCATCCTCTTCCTCGTCCTCCTCGTCTTCCTCATCCTCCTCCGTCTGCGTCTCATTGTCTTCCTCTTCCTCAGTCTCCTCCTCCTCCTCCTCGTCCTCCTCCTCCTCCTCCTCCTCCTCCGCCTTCATCCTCCTCCTCGTCCTCCTCCTCCCTCTCGTCTCGGCCAGCTCATCCTGCACATCATCTGCATCCTCAGTATCCTCCGCCTGCTCCGCGTCCTCCTCCTCCTCCTCATCCTCCTCCTCCTCCTCCTCCTCCTCCTCCTCCCTCCTCCTCCTCCTCCTCCTCCTCCTCCTCCTCCTCCTCCTTCCTCCTCTTCCTCCCTCCTCCCTCCATCTCCGCCAGCTCCTCCTACCCATCATCTGCACCCCCTCTCCTCCTCCTCCGCCTCCTCCTCCTCCTCCTCCTCCTCCTCTCCTCCTCCTCCTCCTGCTCATCCTCATCATCAGCAGCACCAGCAGCATCATCAACCTCATCATCAGTATCATCAGATCAGCATCAGCACCATCATCATCACATCATCATCATCATCATCATCATCATCATCATCATCATCATCATCATCATCATCATCATCATCATCATCATCATCATCATCATCATCATCAACATCATCATCATCATCATCAATCACATCATCATCATCCGCATCATCATCATCATCATCATCATCATCATCAGCCATCATCATCATCATCATCATCAGCATCATCATCATCATCATCATCATCATCATCATCATCATCATCATCATCATCATCATCATCATCATCATCATCATCATCATCATCATCATCATCATCATCATCATCATCATCATCATCATCATCATCATCATCATCATTCGCATCAGCAGCATCATCCTAATAATCAGCATCATCAGCCTCAACATCGACAGCCGCATCGCCATCAGCAGCATCAGTTAAATAGCTGTACGATTCGTACTAGTATGCGCAGTAGTCTTCTCAGTATTAGTGCTTACATTATCTGTCGGTGTACAATTCGTCGTAATACTATCAGTTGTATGATCAGTGGTCTTATTAGTATGCTAGTGGCTCATATTAATGCTAGTATGGCTAGTGGTCTTCGTGTGAGTGTCAGTATGCGTTTGATTTCTCCTCCTCCGCCTCATCCTCTTCGTCCTCCTCCTCCTCCTCCTCATCCTCCGTAGCCTCCTCATCATCTTCTTCATCCTCCTCATTCTCCGCCTCCTCCTCCTCCTAGTCCGCCTCGTCCGCCTCCTCCTCCTCATCCTCCGCCTCATCCTCATCCTCCCCGTCCTCCGCCCCTGGATCATTATCCTCCTCCTCATCCTCATCCTCAACGTCCTCCTCCTCGTCCTCCTCCGTCTCTTTCTCCTCCGCCTCATCTTCTGATGAATACGCTTGGCAGTAGGTTCCATAGTTGTATGTTTGTAACTAGTAGTAATATTGTTATTACTAGTACTAATATGGGTAATGTTGTGATTCCGCCTTATCCTCCACTTCCTGGACTCATCCTCGTCCTCCTCTTATTAGGATTCATAGTGTTCGTGCTCGTGCTCTTTTTCTTATCATTATGGTTCCTCTTCCTCGTATTCGTCGTCTTAGTCATATTCCTCTTCCTCCTCCGCCTCCTCCTCCTCCTCTTCCTCCTCATCATCCTCCTCCGCCTCCTCTTCCTCCTCCTGGGCTTCTCGAATGGTGCAGTTCGACACTAATTCTGAAGGGAATCCAGCCGTGGCGACGAGAAGCCTCCTACAGGCCCAAAGGCCTGCCAAAATCACCGAAAGCCTGGATTGTCGAGCCTTCCCCTTGGGGGGACCAGCTCAGGGGGGGGAAACATCGACCTGGAATCGGCGGCACGCCCCCGATAGATCGGCGACACGCCCACGCTTGCGAATCCGCACGCTCCTGGGCGGCGCGGGCTATCTCGGGCACCATATCGGCTATGACTGGGCGATCGGTGGTCGATGCATCCCACCTGAGCCTATTCCCCCCCCATGCGTTGCCCCTGGCGGATTTCGGGCCACAACTCGCCCCTCCAGCGGCCGTTCGGGATGATCCAGGCACCCCAGGAACGCTCTCGGCGAGGCGCAGCCGCTGGAGAGCACCCCGAGGCTGAAAGACCACTGGGAACCCGCGAAAACGCTCGAACAACTCGAACCACGAACATCGAATATTCGCTTCCTAACGTTATCCCTGGTTCCTCCTCCCTCACCCCCTTCCTCCTCCTCCTCCTCCTCCTCCACCTCCTCCACCTCCTCCTCCTCCTCCTCCTCCTCCGCCTCCTCTTCCTCCTCCTCCTCCTCCTCCTCCTCCTTCTCCTCCTCCTCCTCCTCCTCCTCCTCCTCTGCGTTCCCTCACCCACCCTCCTCCTGTCTCTCATCCCCCCCCTCCATTCCCCCACCCTTCCTCCTCGGAGCCCCATTATTCCCTTCCCCCACCCTCCCCTCCCCCATCCCGCCCCTCCCCGAGAGGAGGAGGAGGACGACGAGAGGACGACGAGCGTGGAAGAGGAGAGGAGGACGACGAGAGGGGGGGTTTTTTGGGCTTCTCTCCTCCCCCCCCCCCCCTCCCTCGTCCTTCTCCTCGCTCTCTCCTCCCCCCCTACCTCCCTCGAATCCTTCCCTCCTCCTCTCTCGTCCTCCTCCTCGTCCTCCTCCTCCTCCTCCTCCTTCTCCTCCTCCTCCTCCTCCTCCTCCTCCTCCTCCTCCTCCTCCTCCTCCTCCTCCTCCTCCTCCTCCTCCCCAACGGTCATGGTCCTGTTCTTAGCGTGCATGTGATTTCGAGCCCCGCGAAAACTGAGCCGTGGACGCGCTGAGCAGCGCAGGGGCGTGCACGCAGAATGGGGTCGGGCGCCACAGCCCTCCGACCTACGCGCCAAGTACCGACCGCGCAGGAGACGCGCCAACGTGCGAAGCACTTGGCGTGCACAGGCGCATTCGCAACTGCACGCCAAGAATACAATCGGAATGCTGTCATAAGGAACCCTAGGTGGGGTATGGCTTACCCTTCGTATTCGACGCACGTGTATCTTAGCGGTTACCCGCGTGGGTTTGGGTCCGCTCTTGCCTTCCTTCCTCCCGAGGGTCGAGGAAGGTCCGGAGAGCGCCTCGCCGTCGCAGCATCTTTGCGCCCCAGGAGGCCCCATGTTTCCACTCAACTTCGATGTCCCATTGAAAAGCGAGCTCTTCCCCAACGGGGAGGGTTCCTTACTCAGCGGCCAGACTGCAAGACCAGGACCGTACTCCTCCTCGGCGCCGCGGTCCTCCGGCGAGGGCGCCGAGCTGCTCGACCTGCAGCAGGGGGCCGGCAGGGGGCAGGGGCTCCGTCACCCACCTCCACACACAGAGAGAGGGGAGCAAGCAGGGAGAAGCAAGGAGGGAGAAGGGAGGAGGGAGGAGGGAGAAGGGAGGAGGAGGGAGGAGGGAGGAGGAGGAGTCCTCCTCCTCCTCCTCCTTCCCCTCCTCCTCCTCCTCCTCCTCCTCCTCCTCCTTCTCCTCCTCCTCCTCATCCTCCTCCTCACTCCCTCCCTCCCTCCCTCCCCCTCCCTCCCACCCACCCACGCCGCCAACCCCCTCCTCCCTCCTCCTCCCTTCTGCCTCCTCCTCCTCCTCCTCCTCCCTCCTCCCTCCTCCTCCCTCCTCCTCCTCCTCCTCCTCCTCTCCTCCTCCGCCGCCGCCGCCGCTGCCGCCTCCGCCTCCGCCTCCTCCCTCTTCCCTCCTCATCCTCATCCTCCTCCTCATCCTGCTCTTTCCTTTCCTGTCCCGCTCTCGTCGTCGTCGTCGTCGTCGTCGTCGTCGTCGTCGTCGTCGTCGTCCTCATCCTCCTCCTCCTCGTCCAACTTCCTTCATTCCTGTTCCTTATAAATAACTTGTCCCTGTCGCACCCCGAAGCTAGTTATTAGGGTGGGCCAGGCGTTTCGCCCAAGACGTCCTCACGATGTATGACCCTGTAGCTTACAAGTTGGCAGCAGCTTCACAGATGGAGGGGGGTTGTTTTCAAAATGTGGTTCTCGCTCTAGCGCCGCGCACACTCATCTTAAACCTTCGCAAGAGCTTCACGGATCGAGGGCGGGTAGTTTTCAAAATGAGGCTCTCGCCGTAGCGCCTCGCACATTCATTTTCAACATGTGCAAGAGCTTCACGGATTGAGGGCGGCTCCTTTTCAAGATGTGGCTCTCGCCTTGGCGCCGCGCACATTCATGTCCAACGTGTGCAAGAGCTTCACGGATTGAGGGCGGGTGGCTTTCAGAGCGTGGCTCTCGCCTCAGCGCCGCGCTCAGTCGACTTTGACAGATGCAAGAACTCCATGGGTTGGGGGCGGCTCTTGCTCCAAAAGTGGCTCTCGCCTCAGCGCCGCGCGCATTCGGCTCTTTTTTGCAGAAGGTTTCACGGGTTCCCATGATCAACGTACCCGAAATGGCGTTCTGGAAACATTCAAGATTATGAGGGCGCAACAAGTTCGTTGATTCGCAGTGCTGAAGCCCCAGGAACGGCGTTCTGGCACGACTCAAGATCGTCAATGTGCAACATTCAGGTTGATCCGTAAAGTTGGAGTCCCGAGACTAACGTCTTGGCATGCTCCAGGGTCGTCGAACGATTGTCTTCCAACGAGGCAGTTCCCCAAGTGGAAATGAACAGTTGTAGGGGCCTATGAAGAGGGAGCTTGGAGGGAGGGTTTATGACAACATCGTTGATGACTCTTGGGTTCACACTGGTCCTCCTCCCTCATCATCACCATTACCATCAAAATCACCATCAAACTCATCATGGTCATCATGATGATGATCATCATGATCATCATCATCATCATCATCATCATCATCATCATCATCATCATCATCATCATCATCATCATCATCATCATCATCATCATCATCATCATCATCGTTCTGGTCTTTCCTTTCCTGTCCCGCTCTCGTCGCCGTCCTCATTTCCCACTCTCGTCGTCAATTCGTCGTCCTCCTCCTTTCGAGGACGGGAGGGGAGAAGGGGAGGGAGGGGAGAGGGGAGGGGAAAGAGGAGAGGAGTCAATGGGGAGAGGAAAGGAAAGGAGAGGAGAGAAGAAGCGAGGAGAGGAGAGGAGAGGAAAGGAGAGGAGAATAGACGAGACAGGGAGAGGGAGGATAAATCAAAGGGGATGGAGAGGAGAGGGGAGGGAGAAAGGGGAGGGAGGGGAGAGGAGAGGGGAGAGGATGGGGAAAGAGGGGGGGGGGCCGGCCTGGGCCCCAAAACGCAAGTCCAGAAAAAGAGACGGGGCGAAACACCACTGAAACGCAAAGCGCGCCCTGCGGCGCGCTAGCCGCGCCGCGGCAGAAAGAAGACAAGAGGGAGGCGGGAGGAGGATGTTTTTTGGATTTCGACGCTGGTGAATCTGGGAGCCTGTCTGCAGAGGCCAGCACGCAACTCGCATGAAACTAATCTGACTGAGGACTCTGCACGGACGCAGGAAGAGTTCTGGGAGCAGTGCCCTTCTTTCCGCCGCAACACTTCACACTCACATCGAGCAAGTGGGCCGGTGTCGAGCCTCACACAAGGACGACGGCAAAGGATTGGGCATCCGGCCACTCTGTAGGAGGAGGGGGCGGAAAGTGAGAGGAATAATGAGCCGTAACGAGAGAAGAGCGAGAGAGAGAGAGAGAGGGGCGAGGTTGAAACACAGACCTGTCGCCTCCGACACGCTGGCCCGCGCGATATTGCGAAGCGGCAACTATGCGGCAAGGGAGCGAGGCTGCAATCACATTCTCACCGACAGTAACGACGATCAGCTGACAACCAAGACTTAGGACATTTTCTTGAGTCTTTTCCTGTTCCACTGAGAGCGTCACTGCACTTGGACCAAATTCGCGCCAGGCGCGCCGGACCTTGTTCCCAACGGCTGGACAGAAAAGCACGACAGTACTACGTTGGGAATTCGGCTGCATGTAATCACAAGCTTGATCCAAGAAACGGCTGCCCTCCAGTCGGACTGTAAGCGAACAGTCGACGGCCAACGGGCCGCTAGCATTACAGCGCGCATCTCCTGGAAAGGGGAACGGCAGGCGCATCGGCCGAGCCCTTTTTCGTCGACGCCCGCTCGCCGACGGCAAACTCGCCACCAATCTAGCAGACCCAGACCCCCGTGAGTCACGAATTGTTCATGACCCTCGTTCAGTATGTTTTCAGCGGTGCCTTGAATTGTGTGTTTCGTGATTCATTGCCTTGGTGTTACTTATATGTCTTGACTTTTTCCTATTGAGAGCGCATGACAAGTCCTTGGCATGGCCTGACAGCCCTTGTCAAGCCTTGGTACCCCTTGACAGCCCTAGGCTTTAAGCAGCGTCGAGGCCTGTCAAAACTTAGGGCTGTTGTCAAGGGTTGAACGCTGACCGACTGGGTCTCCAAGTAAACATTGGTTCGGGCGCAAGTGTCCAACGATGGACAATACAGGGCTCCCCGCGCACGCGCAGAGCTCTGTAGAGCGCACAACCAAATAGTCGCCATGTTGGTGTGAAACTCGAGCGAACCCTTAGCGGTGAACGACAACATTTCGGGTGACCCGCGCGGTGGGCGGGACACCCGCCGGGTGTGCGCGAGCTCGTGGCGAGTTCTGTATGGTCGACCATCGGAAAATCGCCATGTTGGCCTGGAAACTAAAATGAACCCGTAACGGTGGCGGATTTGAAGTTGACGTCAACATGGGGCTCTGGTGTACGATTTCACGCATGATCCATACTGAAGTCCCCTACGCGAGTGCGCGTGAAGAGTTCTGTACTGTCCAGCGGGAAAATCGCCATGCTGGCTTGGAAACCCAAGTGGCCCCTTAGCGGTGACCGGCAGGATTTCGGGTGACCCGCGCGGTGGGCGGTTCACCCGCCGCGCGTGCGCGAGCTCGTGGCGAGTTCTGTCATGTCCACGGTGAGAAAGTCGCCATGCCGCTCTGGAAACTAAAGTGAACCCTTAGCGGTGACCGACCGGATTTCGGGTGATCCGCGCGGTGGGTGGGTCCCTCCTGCCCTGGAGGGCACCCTCCCCCCTCTCCGCTCGCTCGCAGCGCACTTTGAGCCCAGCCAATTCTGCGCTCCGCCTGCCACTTGCTTCAGCCCGCGCACCTGCCTCTGGACCCCAAAAGACAGCCGCTGTTCCCCACATCGTCTGCAAGCCTGCTTGGGGCGCACGCGGACCAGCTACGCCTGCAGAACCTCCTCCGTCCACCTCCCTGAGTCGCAATTCCTCAATCGTCCGCCGTGTTCTCGTCCCCTCTCATCTCCCTCGCTCTGATAGGTCTTCTTCCCGATCACATGGAAGCGTCGTCACTCCCCTGCCCCACTTGTGAAGGCTGGGGAGGGGAGGGTGTGTCGAGGGCTTCATGGCACGGCCAGACAGATCGCAGATCGCAGGTGGAGTTGGAGGGGGAAGGAGGGAAGAGGTGTATGAACAAGCAAGGGGAGAGGGGAGCGGGAAATGTCAGGAGGAGCGGAAGGATTAGCGGAGTGAAAAGGGGAGGAGGAGGAGGAGGAGGAGGTGGAGGAGGAGGAGGAGGAGAAGGAGCAGGAGGAGGGCTGGTGGTTGTCAGGACCTCCCAAGACCTGCCACGACCGTCCCCGTCGCCCGACGCCGCAAGTCGGTCCTCGGCGCTATGGGTGATCTCCTCTCCGTCCGAATTCCCATTGTCCTCCCCGTCCACATCCTGGTCGTCCACCTCCCTCGTCATCAACTTCCTGCTCCTACTCATCCTCCTAATCCAACTCATGCCCGACATCACCCGTCTGTTGTTCTCCCTCACTATCCTCATCAGCATCATCATCATCATCATCATCATCATCATCATCATCAGCTTAACTATAAGCATCATCATCAGCATCAGCATCATCATCGTCATCCTCGGCACTATCCGCACCAGTCCCATCATCATCATCATCGTCACCATCATCATCGTCGTCATCATCAGCAGCACGAACAGCAGCTGCTGCAGCATCAACCTCCATCGTCATGATCAGCAGCAGCATCCGCGTCAGTACCAGCATGACCAGCATCATCACCATTGCCCCATCATCATCAGTAGCAGCAGCCACATCGACATCAGCATTATCAGCATCAGCGTCGTCATCGCCATTGTATCGCAATAATCAGCATCATCAGCAGCATCAGCATCAGCATCAGCATCATCATCATCTACAGTACGCTTATCATCGCTGTCATAAATATCGTGTTCGTCGTCATCATCATCAGCCTCATCAGCAACAGCAGCAGCATCATGAGCATCATCATCAACATAATCAGCATCATCATCAGCATCATCAGCATCATCATCAGCAGCATCAGCATCAGCATCAGCAGCATCCTCAATCACCACCTCACCATCAGAATTATTATCAACAACATCGACAATATCATCATCATCATCATCAGCAGCAGCAGCAGCATAATCGTCATCAGCATCGACATCACCATCGTCATCATCGTCGCCCTCAATCTCATCATAGTGGTGCCCCTCGTCCGCGTCATCCTTCTCCACCTCCTCCTCATCATCATACTCCAAATCATCATCAGCATCATCACCCCCACCACCATCCCCATCAGAATCGCCATCATCGGTGCCACAAGCATCGTCATTGTAGCGTCATCCTCATCATCAACAGCATCATCTGTTCAGCACAATAGTCCGCGTCAGCATCAACATCCTCATCAGCATCATCATCATCAGCAGCATCATCATTACCATTACCATCAGCAGCAGCACCGACAGCATCGTCATCATCGTCAACTGCATCATGCGCGTCGTCGGCGTCACTATCCCGTTCATCATCCTCCTCAGCAGCCCCAGAACCGTGATAGCCATGCTAGCCACCATTCATTTGCATATGGCGTCCTCTTCCATGCCATCGCCCGCAGCAACGATCCTACCCCCCCTCCCCCGCCGCCCCCCCACACACACACCACCACCACCACCACCACGACCACCACCACTATCCGCACCAACATGATTAGCATCATCCCGCTCATTTCCGGGAGGATCCACACTGTCGTCATCACAGTCATATTCGCACCCAATGCAATGATCAACATCAGAACCGTCATAATCGACGTCATCACCAAAATATCGCCACCCCTCATCCGCTCCAGACCCACCCTATCAAAAGTAGTATCACCAATACCAGCCACATCGTCTCCATCATCCCCAACAGCATCAGCAACGTAAGCGTCATTCACATCATCACCGCCCGCATCGTCATGTTCATTGTCACCGTACTACTCACAATCAACCCACTCACTGCCAGCAATACCAGCCCCACTGCCACAGCCGTCGGCATCATCATCGTCGCGAACGCCGCCATCGCCGTCATCATCAATGACGTCATCACCTTGGTCAGCATCGTCATCACCAATCGCCCTCACCAGAAGTATCCACATTAGTGTGATCGGCGTTGCAGGTTCCTCCGGGTCGGGTTCCTCCTCGTCATCATCATCATCATCATCATCATCATCATCATCATCATCATCATCATCATCATCAGCAGCAGCAGCATAATCGTCATCAGCATCGACATCACCATCGTCATCATCGTCGCCCTCAATCTCATCATAGTGGTGCCCCTCGTCCGCGTCATCCTTCTCCACCTCCTCCTCATCATCATACTCCAAATCATCATCAGCATCATCACCCCCACCACCATCCCCATCAGAATCGCCATCATCGGTGCCACAAGCATCGTCATTGTAGCGTCATCCTCATCATCAACAGCATCATCTGTTCAGCACAATAGTCCGCGTCAGCATCAACATCCTCATCAGCATCATCATCATCAGCAGCATCATCATTACCATTACCATCAGCAGCAGCACCGACAGCATCGTCATCATCGTCAACTGCATCATGCGCGTCGTCGGCGTCACTATCCCGTTCATCATCCTCCTCAGCAGCCCCAGAACCGTGATAGCCATGCTAGCCACCATTCATTTGCATATGGCGTCCTCTTCCATGCCATCGCCCGCAGCAACGATCCTACCCCCCCTCCCCCGCCCCCCCCCCACACACACACCACCACCACCACCACCACCACCACGACCACCACTATCCGCACCAACATGATTAGCATCATCCCGCTCATTTCCGGCAGCATCCACACTGTCGTCATCACAGTCATATTCGCACCCAATGCAATGATCAACATCAGAACCGTCATAATCGACGTCATCACCAAAATATCGCCACCCCTCATCCGCTCCAGACCCACCCTATCAAAAGTAGTATCACCAATACCAGCCACATCGTCTCCATCATCCCCAATAGCATCAGCAACGTAAGCGTCATTCACATCATCACCGCCCGCATCGTCATGTTCATTGTCACCGTACTACTCACAATCAACCCACTCACTGCCAGCAATACCAGCCCCACTGCCACAGCCGTCGGCATCATCATCGTCGCGAACGCCGCCATCGCCGTCATCATCAATGACGTCATCACCTTGGTCAGCATCGTCATCACCAATCGCCCTCACCAGAAGTATCCACATTAGTGTGATCGAAGTTGCAGGTTCCTCCGGGTCGGGTTCCTCCTCGTCATCATCACCAGTTCCATCAACACTATCATCAGAGAATCATCGGTATCATCATCAGCAGCATGATCAGCAGCATCAGCATCGTCGTCGTCGTCGCCGTCATCATCATCATCATCATCATCATCATCATCATCATCATCATCATCATCATCATCATCATCATACTAATCAGCATCATCATCATCAGCATCATCAGCATCATCAGCATCGGCACCATCATCCTCATCGGCCTCAGCATCGTCATCATCTTGAACACTATCGCCCGCGTGCATATTACGTAGTGCTAGCTCGCAGGCGTGGAGAAGCGCATGGCTGCTGTGCAATCACGCTCTCGTGCTATTATTGAGCACATGTTTCATGCCGCATCGTCCTCCGTATCCCCCTCCTGCTCATCTTTGTAATCCTCTGCCTTTGTCTCCCCTACACCACCTCCGCATCCGTCTTCCCCTCCGCCGCGGCCTCTTCACCGTATGTGCTGTCGCGAGAATACGCAATAATGTCCTACTCCAATACGTAATCCCGTTCGTCCTCCTCCCCGTCCTCCTCATCCGCATCCTTCTCCTCCTCCTTATCCTCCTCCTCCTCCTGCTCCTCCTCCTCATCCTCCTCGTAGTCCTCCGCGCCAAAGCGGAGTGGCTGCTGCATGCGAACGCAGCCACTGGGGCCTTAGGCGGAGCTCCCTATGGGGCCACGAAGCGTGTGAAGGGAGCGCCAAAGTGTGAAGGCGGCTGCATGCGGGCGCAACGAGGCCTTATGCTGAGCTCCCAGTGGAGCCACAAAACGTGTGAGAGGTGCGCCAAATTGGGACGAGCGGCATGCGAATGCAGCCACTGATGCTTTCGGCGGAGCCCCCTTATGGGGCAACGAAACGTGCGAGGGGTGCGCCAAAATGGGGTGGCGGCGACATGCGAACGCAACCACCTGGCCATAGGCGGAGCTCTATGGGGGCCACGGAACTTGCGAGGGTGCGCCATAATGGGGTGGCGGTTGCATGTGAACGCAGCCACTGGTGCCTGAGGCGCAGCTACCCATGTGGCCACGAAACGTGTGAGGGAAGCGCCAAAGTGTGATGACGGATGCATGTGGGCGCATCGGGACCTTAGGTGAAGCCTCCTGTGGTGTCACAAAACGTGTGAGGAGTTTGCCAAAGTGGGGTGACGGCGGCATGCGAACGCAGCCACTGGGGCCTTAGACGGAGCCCGCTATGGGGCCACGAAACGTGCGAGAGGTGCGCCAAAGTGGGGTTGCGGCGATACGAACTTAGCCTCTGGTGCCGGCGGAGCCCCATATGAGGCAACAAAACGTGTGAGAGGTGCGCCAAAGTGTGGTGGCGACTGCATGCGAACGCAGCCACTGCTGCCGTAGGGGAAACTCCCGATGGAGCCACGAAACGTGTGCAAGGTGCGCTCAAGTGGGGTGGTGGCTGCATGCGAACGCAGCCACTGGAACCAGGCGGAGCGCCCTATGAAGGCACGAAATACCCTAGGGACGTGCCAAAGCGGGGTGGCGGCGGCATACGGGCACAGCCACTGTGGCCCGTGGCCCTAGGCGAAACTCCCTATGAGAACGTGTGAGGGGTGCGCCAACATGGCGGGGTGACGCCATGCGAACGCAGCCACTGGAACCTCAAGCGAAGCCCCCTTTCGGGGCCACGAAACGTGTGAAGGGTGCGCCAGAATCGCGAGGTGGCGGCATGCGAACCCAACAACTTGGGCCTCAGGCGGTGCTTCCCATGAGAACATGAAACGTGTGAGGGACGAAACGTGTGAGGGGTGCGCCGACATGGTGAGGTGGCGACGTGCGAACAAAGCCATTGGTGCCTCAGGCGGAGCTCCATATGATGGTCACGGGGCTATAGCATGATGGTGATGATGATGATGATGAGGAGGAGGAGGCGGAGGGGGAAGATGAGAATGACGATGGTGATGATGATGATGATGATGCTGATGATGATGATGATTGTGGTGAGAATGATGCTGATGGTGATGATAATGATGATGATGATGATGATGATGCTGCTGATGATGATGATGATAATGATGATGGCGATGATGATGACGATGGTGGTGAAGATGGTGATGGTGATGATGCTGCTGACATTGATGATGATGATGATGGTGATGGTGACGGTGACGGTGATGGTGATGGTGAAGTGGTGATGAGTATGTGGATGCTGCTGCTAGTGATGATGATGGTGTAATTGAAACAGACATGATGCAGATGACGACAGCAAACACGACGACAACGACGAAGATGAGGATGCATAAGAATATGAATATGAAGGTGAAGATGCTGATAATGAGAATGGTAGCGGACATGATAATGATCATGAGAATTGCGATGCGACTTATAATGAGAATTGTGAA